AAAAGTCTCTGACACATGGTTGTGTGTGCAGTGAATCCCTGTTGAATGCATGTAGATTGAACTTTATTTTCACTGCAAATGCATGGGTTGTCTTTATCTTACAAAGGCATGATAATTAGAGCTGTGTTTGTGTCATCGCTGAAATAAAGGGGAAAGAGGAAGGAGAGGAATGTTGCAAAGTACTGATGTGAGAGGTAGGTTGTTTGAGACACAATTAGAGGTGTCTGGCCCTTAATAGGCATGCATTAAATGCCTATTAAACTGAACTCAACTGATGCCATCTGGCACAACTTGCTTTAGGATGTAAGTTAGGAAGAGAAAAGTCAGTAAACAAAAGTCAGAAGTTTCTTTGCATGCTCCTCTCTTCCTCATCCTTCTACCCAAGGGACAAGGAGGGAGATAGATTTTATGCCTTGCATTTCCTGAGCCAGCCACCAAGCAGCACTGTCAGGCTAGAACACCTTAGTTGTGTTGACCAGAGCTCTTTGTAGGTGGGGGAAGGAAAGAAGCAGAAATAGAGTTTTTTTTTTTTTTAATATACAGGATTAATTCGAAGGAAATGTTTGTACATCTTGAATGGATAGATTGTATGTAGGGGATACATTTTAAATCCCCATTACTAAATGAAAATCTGAAAGTAGTATGGAGTAACAGAAACAGCACTAGGCAAGGAGTCAGACCTGGATTTCAGTATTAACTCTTCTACTTAATAGTCACACAACCACAGCTGAGGTTTTCAAGCTTATTTGAAGGTAGTTTTCTTCTCTGTAAAATGTTGCCAAGAATGTCCTTCTTTGCATATTTGCTGTGGTTGGGGTCCAGTGAGATTATACTCATGAAACAGTTTAGAAAACTAAAACGATATACACATTCCAAAAGTGTTATGTTATTTCTTCATCCAGAAAAGTAAAGACATTGGCCCAGATGACATATGAGATAATTTCTCCTCTACGATTCTGATGGTTAAGATGGCCTGGTGTTGGGAGCCATGCTGCCTGGTTTCAGGGACTGTAGGCTCATTAATAGACAGAAGGGTCCCATGGCTAAGGCTGAGTGAAGAGGCCCTGGGGCCATGAGCCACTAAGGAGACAGAACCTATCCTCCTGGCAGGGACCCTCCCTCACTTCACCCTGCTTGGACCCAAAAGATGGCTGGTTAGTCAATGACTGGTAAGATCCCTCGAGGGAAGGACAACCTAAGCCAGGCATAACCACAAAAAGGGCCATCAGGGAATGATTTAGGGGACTATAGAGAAGGGGCAGAAAGACCCTTACCCCTCAAAGTGCGTGCTTTGCCCTCAATGCCTGAGTCCTCCTTCTATCTGTAAAAAGCCTCCTAATCTCTTGGCTGCTTTGCTCCCCCCACCTGACTCAGCCTGAAAACAATGCCAGAGGCAGCTGTGGCCTTGTATTGGAACAGACAGCTCCCAGGGGCAAATCTGGCCTGAGAAAGAATGTACATCGTTTCCTTTGAGGCTTGCTCTGCCCTATTGATATGAACTAGACATTTGAACTCAAAGGGTAGGGAGTAAAACTTCCTACTTCACGATAATGTCTCAACAAACTTCCGGGTCAGCGTATCTCGCTGTCCCTCATCAGAGATAATCCCTGTGTAACAGTAACAGATGGGAGGTTGGTTTTTACTCTTAAGAAAGCATATTGTTACAACTCTGCATGGTTAAAGTTAAGGAAAATTCAAATTTTCTGACCTTCCATTTTTATTGTCGTTTGAATGGGTAGGGCAGAAATTTGTCTGGTGGCATAAATCATGCTTGGGCCTTCACCTGCTCTGAGTATTGTTAATAAGGCTGTACTAATGCTTAGTAAGTGCAAACATCCATTACATCTCAAACACAGTTCAGTCCTATGATCAAATATAAACAAAGGAACACAAATGGCTTGTACTAGAGATTTCCACGGGGCACAGCCATGTGCTCAGGGCTTTTCAGACCAGATAATATGGAGACGTGAGACTTATTTAGTAGGTTATATGATCGGATCTCCTCTTTGAAAATGTCTGATCCCCTAATACACCAACAAATTTGACAAATAGACTTCTGCTATGGGAGTAGGTGGAAAATTCACTATTTTCAAAAGAAAACCATTAGACTAAAAGAAATTAGCACTACTAAGCTTAGAAGCAAATAACAAAAAAAGATCAACTTTCTAAAGAGTTTGTGGGGGAAACAATGGCACACATAAGTCAAAGTGACAGGTAATATATATTCTTTTTACGTTTTAGAGTTTGTTATTAACTTTTGGTAACTCATTTAGCTTCCTAATTATATTTTATTTAGGAAAGCACTAATTAGATTAATTAGATCAATAGACTGTAGACTAGGGAGATGTACATGTTTGTTGCATAGAAGGAGAGGAATGATGAAAAGCTTAAGTGCTAATGATAGAAATCAGTCTAGTATTTAAAAAATCTAATACAGATACACTACACAGAGATCATTGGAAATCAAGTACATAGAATTGTTGAGATGCTCTGTGGCCATTCAGTCACTTTAGAATGTTAAAAAATAGGGGACTTCCAGTCAAGATGGAGGCATGGGTAGACATACTGTGCCTCCTTGCACAACCAAAATAAGGACAACAATTTAAAAACAAAAAACAACCAGTACTGACAGAAAATTGAACTGTGGAAGTCTGACAACCAAGGAGTTAAAGAAGACACATTCATCCAGACCGGTAGGAGGGGTGGAGGCGGAAGCTGGGCCAGAGAGGGATTATGGCAGGGTGGCAACGGGTGGACCCAGTGAGGCAGCAGTTGTGAAGTGGGGTACAGCGCACAAGGTGGCTGATGGGCCAGGCGGTCCCACATCCGTGCTCAGATAAAGCAGGCAAAACTGGGGAGCAAGACAGACCACACAACCCAGGGTCCCAGCATGGGGAAATAAAGCCTTAAAACACCGACTAAAAACACCTGTGGGGGTTGAGGCGCTGGAAGAAACTCCTGGCCTCACAGGAGAGTTTGTTGGAGGAACCTCCAGGGTTCTAGAATGTACACAAGCCCAGGAACCAGCACCAGAAGGGCCCAATTTGCTTGGGGGAAACAGGAAAAGTGACTGAAATCTGGCAGAGAGTAGAGCAAGCGCCATTGTTTCCTCTGACCCCGCCCCCACGTACAGTGTCACAGCCTAGCGACTGGGTTGCCCTACCCTGGTGAACACCTAAGGCTCCACCCCTCATAGGTAACAGGCACGACAAGACAAAAAAAAAATTGGCCCAAATGAAAGAACAGTTCAAAGCTCCAGAAAAAATACAACTGAGCAATGAAGAGATAGCCAGCCTATCAGATACACAGTTCAAAACACTGATAATCAGGATGCTCACAGAATTGGTTGAATTTGGTTGCAAATTAGATGAAAAAATGAAGGCTATGCTAAAGGAGGGAAATAAAAGAAAATGTACAGAGAACCAATAGTGATGGGAAGAAAGCTGGGATTCAAATTAATGGAGTGGACCAGAAGGAAGAAAGAAACATCTAATCAGAAAAGAATGAAGAAACAAGAATTCAAACAAATGAGAGGCTTAGGAACCTCCAGGACATCTTTAAATGTTCCAACATCCAAATATAGGGGTACCAGAAGGAGAAGAGGAAGAGCAACAAGTAGAAGTTATTTGAACAAATAATAAAGGAGAACTTCCCCAATTTGGCAAAGGAAATAGACTTCCAGGAAGTCCAGGAAGCTCAGAGAGTCCCAAAGAAGTTGGACTCAAGGAAGCACACACCAAGACACATCATAATTACATTACCCAATACTAAAGATAAGGAGAGAATTTTAAAAGTGGTGAGACAAAATGAGAAAGTTACCTACAGAGGAGTTCCCATCAGACTGTCAGCTGATTTCTCAAAAGAGACCTTCCAGGCAAGAAGGGGCTGGAAAGAAGTATTCAAAGTCATGAAAGGCAAGGACCTATATCCAAGATTATTCTATCCAACAAAGCTATCATTTAGAATGGAAGGGCAGATAAAGTGCCTCTCAGATAAGGTCAAGTTCAAGGAGTTCATCATCACCAAGCCCTTATTATATGAAATGTTAGAAGGACTTATCTAAGAAAAAGAAGATAAAAGTATGAACAGTGAAAGGACAGCAAACTCACAGTTATTAACAACCACACCTAAAACAAAAGCAAACTAAGCAGACAGCTAGATTAGGCTCAGAACCATAGAAATGAAGATCACATGGAGGGTTAGCAACAGGGGAGTGGGAGGAGGAGGGTGGGGAAAGGTACAGAGAATAAGTACATAGATGGTAGGTAGAAAATAGGCAGGGGGAAGGTAAGAATAGTATGGGAAATGTAGAAACCAAGAACTTATAAGTATGACACATGGACATGAACTAACGCGGGGGGAATGTGGGTGGCAGAGGGTGTGCAGGGTGGAGGGGAGTGAAGAGGGGAAAATGGGACAACTGTAACAGCATAATCAATAAAGTATATTTTAAAAAAGAATGTTGAAAAACAGAGTTTCTTTCTAAAAATCTTCTTCCTCCCAGTGCCTGATTGAGAATAGGGCTTTCATTTGTAAGACCGGGGATATGTCTGTCTGATTTCTTTTTAAAAAAGTATGCTGGGTTCTACCATATTTTTGCCGGAGCCCTAATTACTTCGGAAGGAGCAGCAGTTAGAGGCCTGTGTGGTGTCACACGTGTGCCGTCCGCAGGTGTGTCGGCTGCTCCTTCAGAGGCGGTTGCAACCTGGCCAGTGCAAACAGGCATAACTCCCTCGGGTTGCTTGTATGTTGTGACATATACAAAAAAAAAAACTCTGAGAAAAATGAAATTACCTCTTTACACAAGTATACTTGAATCAATTATTATTTTTTATGGTCTAACGACCATTCTTATTTTATGATTGTAATTAGGTAATGGATAAAATGATGTGCACCCTATACTTTATAGAGCCCGAGATTATGCCAAAGTCCAGCCATCTGTGCTGCTTGTTGTCATGTGAGTCAGTTACATGGGTCTAATTGGTCGTTTCTATGAACAGGTGTTCAAAGTAATGAGACAAACAGGCCGTGCCGCTCTCGCCCACTCATTAACTTCACAAAATCATTGAAACGGATGGCCACACCAGCAAGTCCAGCTCACGGGATGACTCTGAACCCATGGTAGGAGATTGTTCCTCTGAGCATCAGACACAGTGTTGCAGCAGGAGGGTGGGATGTAGCCTCAGAAGACCCGCTCTCCTTCTGGCAATATCACAACTCACTTAACTGCTTAGAACCTTCATTTCTTCATCTACAATTGAAGCTTTAACCCTAACCCCACCTATCTCACAGGGTTGCTGTAGGGTTCAGTGAGATGGAGTATGTTAATGAGTAGCACTTTAAATTATAAATACTATGTAAACACAAAGTACCATTATTAAGGTTCTAAACCAGATTTCCCAGTGACTCAGAATATAATGTTGGGCAACTGAATGACATCAGGTTTTGTAATCATTAAAATAGGTAAACATTTTAGAAACCTCATTTGACCTTATAACTAATAATATTTCTTAATACATTTTATTTGCTTTGCCAGGGTAATCAATGACAAATATGGAGAAATGAAATGCCTCTAAAACGGACTACCTCGAATTTCAGAAAATGGCATAGAGAATGGGAGATCACAGAGACCACACTCTTTAAGTTCCAGAAAGCCATTTTAGTCACTATTAAAGTCCTAGTAAAGTACCAAAGAACTTGGCAAAACTTCCAAACGTTTCAAATACTAGACTATGACTTGTGATATTTTGTGTCTCTCTTGGGCAATTGAATATTCTATGTCACTCAAAGAAAACATGGTCCATCTAACCCACCCCTTTCTTTTCCCCTGTCTACCACCAACCAGATCTAAATGGCAGTTGAGTATACAGATGAGGGTATTCATTACAGAATCATTTATGGGAATTGGAGGCAGCAGAAATGTCCAACACTAGAGGATTAGGCAAGCAAAGAGTATATATATAAATAGCAGATGATTAAAAGGCAGTTAGAAATAATGCATTAGAAATATTTGAAATATGACTGGCCATATAGGTACATCTTAAAAATATGGCATTGAATTGAAAGAGTGAGAGGAGAGAGGAGAACCGATGAAATAGGTTGAGGTGTAACACTTAAACAGGGCCTTGTGTAAGAGAAATTAAGGAGTATGTAAACTAATTCAACATGAACCAAGAGACTTAAAAAACTAAAAAACTGTTGGACTACTCCATCTTTCAGTGCTTGCCTACATAAGTCTTTCCGGTGTATTTTCTGCATGGTGTGGGAATACCTCATGGCTCAGTTAACAGCCTTCATGCTGCAGCCTACACCACACCTTGGGCCTTTCTCGTTTCCCTCAGTGCAAAGTGAACGGCTGGCCACTGACTCCGTGTCCACTCTGCACGCTCCTCCACACCATCATCAGATGGCTTTCCAGCCTTCTCTCCTCCAGGTGAAATAACATCAGGTTCTCTTGCTGCTTCTTATAGATTGGATTTTTGTTATTATTTAGTTACCTAGGAGCCCTTTTGAGCTAATTCCAAGCACTCTCCTTTCTTTTAAATTGTAGAACCTGAATCAGGTAGAGTACTAATAAAAGCAGGAGATGACCTGCTACTTTCTTCACTCCTGGGTGGTAAACCCCAGCTCTGGCCATCTCTCAGCCATGCTATTCTGCTCCCCAGGAAGAGCATGAAGAATACATAATAAAGTGATAAACACTTCCAGGTATAAATTACTGAATTAAAGTCATTTTCTAAAACAAACTTCATTCCGAGGTACCAGTAGACTAGAACTTTGGAAAGGAGTGAGGAGATGTAAGAGCTAAGGAAGGTCGTTTATGTAAATTTCCTTAGGGAGAAACCACACAGGAAGGACATGAAAATACATCAACAAAGACTGAACTATCTAAGCACCTCTGTCACCTCCTTAAGAATTCTAGGAGACTTCGATCGTAATCTATCTAGATCTAATAGCTAGAACACCGGCCATTAGTTCCTGTCCAGTCGGCACCAGGAGATTAGAACTGATGATGGGTGTCTGCCCTAGGTTGCTCTTGTTTTTGTTTTTTGTTTTTCACGTAAAAGCAGTTCTGAAAGATCTGGCAGGGTTTTCATGTTTGGTCACAGTTTATCAAAATGACTGAAGCAAATTACAGGAAATTATTAGAGGATGGGTAAAAATTAACTTCTCTGCTTTCAAAAGAGCTGCTATTGCTTCACAAACATGACCATAAGATAGCACTGGAACCTGAAGCAAAGAGTGTCACTTGCCTTGTGACGAACAATTCCTCGAACCCCCTGCATTCATGCTGAACTTCTGTTTGGCAAGCCAATATGAATGCACAGCTCTCTCTCTGGGAAGTACAGATACACTGCTTCCTGTAGGGAAACTGAGTCACGGCCGGAGTGAGTGACTTGGCAGAGAGGCCAGAATGAGGCCCGGGCAAGCTCAAGTTCAGAGTCAGCTCAGCCACCAACTAATCTTAAAATTTAGGGCAAGTCACTTTACTCTCTTGTACCTTTGTGAATTGTATTCATAGGATACGATATAGTTCATTGCTCAGGCCAGGTATTTTTGAGAATAAATGGGGGTGCTATTAACCCACTGGGACAAGTGAACTTCTGGGATACCTCCTATATTAAAATTTCATTACAGCTGAGTTAGAGCAGAAAATAAAACCCAGGTTCCTGATCACCAGCCCCATACTCTGCTCCCCAAGCCAGGTCGGTACTCTGCTCCCCAAGCCAGGTTGTCTGTCTTCTGCCAGGACTTAATCTATAATGGAGTTCTGTGGAAGGGTGTTCAATGAAAGGATCCATGAAGGCCCTTTCCCAGCAAATAAAAAGGACAGCCTGACCTGTATCTGCTTGCTCATCTACTCACAAACCCCAAACCCCATATGTGTTCAGAGTCAATAGCACTGGAATGACAAATCCAAACAGCAGCAGGAAACCAGAGTTGGCCCCACCCCATGCCAACAGCCTAATCCTTTCCCCCAGAGCTTGAGTCTCCTGTCTCCTGGTCCCCCAGGGCTCAGGATGGTGCTTACCTTCCCCTCCCCGCCTTGCTGCTATTCTCACCAGCAAAGACTGTGCCCTCTGCCCAGCTGCCCTGGGCTCCCAGCTGCCTCAGACTCTGCCTCTACCCCAGAGGGGGGTTAATTACACACCTGGCCACGCCCCTCTTCAGAGGCAGGAGGTGCCATATGGAGCTGCCACTGTGGAATCTTAGCTGTCCAATGGAAGAAAGGGCTGTCAAGGGCCCACAGTCACAGGAACTGCAGGAAGGGAGGATTCCTTGTCACTAATGCAGGGAACACTGATCTGCCAGGAACAGCATTCTGCTCCAGAGAAGGAACCCAACAAAATTTATAAAGCCCTGTAAACAGAATTTCTTGGCCTTAAGGTGGCTGTAATTTTTTCAGAAAGATACATTAAATGCAGCCATTTCTGATGAGGATGAATGCATTTAACAAAAAATAAACCAATTTGGAAAAAGAAACCTCTCGGACCCACAGTCCATAGGGAATTCTCTATGGGAAGTGATTTGAGGAATTCTCCGGAAAACCCTCAGTCTTGGTGTATCTTCCTTCAACAAGTTGCTTGGAATTCTGACCAGTAAAGGTTATAAATTTTGCCTGAAACTCATTTTCCTGATTGTCACAATGAGTAATTATGTAACATTTCAAAGAACTCCCACATATGTTATCTTGCTGGAACCTATTTAATACATACCAAGGAGAAACATAACTCATTAAACAATTATTGTCTATTAACACCAAAACTTTAATTAGTTTTCAGAAATGGGTAAGTGGAGCCTTGAAGAGCTGAGACCCTGGAAATCAGGTGTGTTTAGATGGGAGGACAGATGGGAAACCACCTACAGCCTGGCCCGCTGAGCCAGCCATGGGCACCCCTGCACCAAAACAGTGCCCGGGCGAGGTACGGACAAGAAGAACAGAAGCCACAGAGGCAAACTGCACCCACGCAAGCCTTTGCCTGCTGTTGCCCTGGAAACCACTTAGAAAAGTCCCTGGGGTGCCAGATAGACTCATCCTAATGCTGACAACTCAGGCCAATTTCTGAAAGAACGACCTGGCTGTCCACCAGAGCAGAGTGTCTGGTGCGTCTGCCGTGATTCTTTTTATTATTGATAATCCTCTGGCTTATGCTAGGTAATATGTAGAGAACAAAAGGAAGCTATTAGTTTTGAAACATCCCTTCTCACCATCCCTTCTCACATGTTAGCACAGTCTTTAGATAATGCACTGTTGAGACTCTGAGTAATTCTTCCTGTTGGCCTCCCCAGAGCATGTCCGGGTCCCAAGAATGCTCGAGACGCACCGCATACCCTGTCCTAGCTGGAGCTGGAAGGGTGGTTTTCGGGACCCAGGAGCCACGGCCTCTTGGATCCCTCATCCTCTGAGGTCCTATCGCTGTCCTCCTTCTACTGCCGGGGCACATGGCCCAGGGGCCAGAGCAGACCCCACGCTCTCTCTGGGCCTCATTGTCCTCACATATGAAGTGAGGCGTTTGGATTCACATCAGAATCACTTGAGGAGTTTCAGAAAACAATGTCAGGCTACACACCCAGGGGTTCTGATCGAATTGGTTAGAGTAGGGCCCAGTCCCGGGTTTGAAGCTGAGTTAGATGATCTCTGGGACACTCCCAACTCTACAAACATCCACAGTCCTGACAGCCTGCTCCTCTTCTTTACTTACTGAACTATTTTTTTCCAGATATAATAATTTTTTAAAAGATTTTAATTTTTTTTTAGAGAGAGGGGAGGGAAGGGAGAAAGAGAGGAAGAGAAACATTGATGGGTGAGAGAAACATTGATTCATTGCTTCTTGCACACCCGAAACTGGGGACCTGTCCCACAACCCAGGCATGTGCCCTGACCAGGAATTGAACTGGCGACTTTTTGCTTTGTGGGAAAATGCCCAACCCACTGAGCTACCACTGTCAGGGAGACATACTTTTTTTTCCCCGCCAGAATTTCACATAGGCTGATTTTTAGAGATGCTCTTCATTATTTTAAAAAAAGATGTATTGTTAAAGTATTGTTTGTTGGGGCATAACTAACATAAAATGTAATCTTTATAGTGCACAATCTGATAAAGTGTCACTCATATGAAATTGTTATCACGATCATCATAGTGAAAATATCACCAAGCTTTCCTCCCAACCTCTTCTCCCTGCCCTCCTTGCCCAGGTAATCGCTGATCTGTTTTCTCTTCCTATCAATAGTTTGTATTTTCTATCATTTTATACCAATGGAATCACACAGTATGTACAGTTTTTTGCCTGGCCTCTTATTAGTTTTGTCCTTGTGCTTCAGATGTCAAGCGCTTTGAGAACAGGAGCCACTTTTCATTTCCTTTTCTCTTCCTCCTGGCCCTCAACTTATCTCTGCTCAGAGAAGGAAGCCCCTTGATCATTATTTGCTTGATTGAAATCAGACCTTTATGACCTTACGACTGAGCTTCAGTCCGGCGGCCGAGATGTGCCTGCCGTGTTAAGGGTCTCAGCTTCCCCCAACTTCCCTGCAGGTTTCTAGTCCGCAGCTTCAGCTTAGTTAAAAAATAACGCACTGGCTGCAACCAGAGGTCTTCATTTAGGGGCTGGCCGTCTAGCGACCCAGAAAATGTACATCAAGGTGTCTGTTGGGTCAAAGGGATGGGGAAACTACCTGGGAAAGCCTCTGGGTTTTCACCAGATTCCTAATCTTAATCCCCAGGTTCCTCACCCAAGGGAGGAACCGTGGAACTAATGCCATGCTGTGTTCCTGTTTATATTTCTATATGCATTTTGCGAATATGTCTAATCATAAATCCTCTACTCCCACTTCTCCCCGCCTTTCCTCCTTCCCAGTATCTTTACTTTGTTCTCTGCCCGCTCCCATTATTATAACCCTTCTTAACCAAATAGACTTCAGACCCTGTCAACTGCTATTTCATGCAAACTTTTTGCATTGCTCTTCTCTTTACGGCCGTCTCACCTAAGCTATGTGGTATGTTATGCCTTTTTATTCAATAATTCTTATTCTACTTAACACTTAATCTGGATACCACTGTGTTCGAATATCGCAAACCTGCATTTCTTCAAAACCCCAAAGCATGGGGTTTCTTTTTATCTTAAACAAGATCAATATTTTCATTTTCAAAACTGGCAAGTATAATGAGAACCAAAAATAACAATAAATAGCAATGCAAATTAATAGTCGAGCCACCTGTACTCAGTCCAGAAATACCTCCCCTTCCCTGCTACATTGAACACAAAAAAATACTTTAAAATGACATTATGTCTGACTTTAGACTGAGATGTAGAATAGCAATATCAGCTTCTAAATGATAAATTCATATGTGGTTTGGCACAGTCCTACCAGTGCTGGTCTCCAAGTGTCTTTCAGAGATAGGAGAGAGTGAGAAAAACACCCTACCCACTGGCCAAAAGGCCAAGTGGCCAACATAGCTAGCCTCTTGCTCCAATCTACCTCACCTCTGTGGGTTTGCTCCGAATCCACCTCAATGCTTATAAGGATCTGATATCTTACATCCAACAGCATTCCCTGGCTCCTTGCTTTGGACCAGCTCTTAACTTTCATTCTCCCTTTTACCTCCACCTTTTCCCAACAGAATAGCAAATACCATAAGTATAGCATTGCAGTCGCTTCTAGACAAAGTTCACTTCCTCTGCATTAAAGGCAAACCCCTGAAAGTTACTTACGTGGAAGTGGCACAGGCTGCTTTGGAAGCTGAGTTCTCAGATGCCAGCCTGCTTAAATAGCTGGGCTGCCTGACACAGGCTGTTGACAGCTCGATATTTATGCCCATGAGTTGACGCTCAAGCAAGGACCTGAAAAGCCTGCAGCGTGGGCAGGAAGAAAACAACTGCAAGTATGCCGAGGTTACATCTCTCCTGGTTATTCAGGTTTGCTGTTGAGGTGGTGACTTATGTGACTCTCATGGAACTTTCTGGGCACTGCCTACTTGTTCCCGACCTCCTTCTTAGCCAAGTAAGACTCTTCACCAAGATTGGATGAGAAAGATGCAGCTGGGAAAAAGAAGGCACACAGGATCCTGCAGCCTTGTGCCAAGTCCCTTATTTTGACTGGGCTTCCAGTTAGATGTTTTCTCATTTCAAAGCATAGGCTTGGTGAGGCTGATTTCACAGTTCTGGGGGCTGGGTGCCAAGCTACGAGCCTGGACAATTGCCCAATCGATGAAAAGTTTTTTTGTTTTCAGGCACAGAATGTACAAACAAAGAAGAGTTATAAGGGAGGTTCGGACTAGGATGACACAATTTTAGCCCCCTTTCAAAAACAATTGTCACTTCTTTTCCCCTGCATCTGTACTTTCCTCCCGATGTCCCCTCCCTTTCCTTTGTTAATAAAATTCCCATCCCAGAGTTGAGAGCACAAATAAAAAGCCAGTGTGTAAGCAAGCCTGTGGGAAGATGCTCTCCAAGTGTGAGAGAGTGTTCAGTGGCTTGTGTGACCACAGTGGAAACGTTTCTAAGTGTGAGGGTATGTGTGTGGGAGTGGAGACGCAATTAGTCAATGTTTATCAGCAGTTTATAGCTAGATACGGCAGGTGAAGTCAAAAGCGGAATGCTAAATGCATTAAGTGGAAATGATTCTGAGAGGGTAAAGGAAGGCAGACAGGGTTTGGTGAGATCATTTAGAAGAGTATCTGTGTGCGTTTGCTGGTACACAGCACAGACTGGTGAGTGCCACCCAGATACACACATCTTGATTTTTCACTTCACTGGAGAAAGAAAAGGCCCACTTGATTCTCTGGGGAACAGTGGCTGTCTGTGAAAGAAGAACAGCAATCATTCAGAATATTTCTTTCCTCCTCGGAAAAGGGGATAATGGTAATAAAACATGTGTGGGAGAAAAGGAGAGACAGGGGGCCTAGCCTACCCCATCCCTGGTTACTGGAGGAATTCTTTTGTTTTCTGTCTAATTCATTGCCTAATTTTTGACCATTGTATGGCCAAATCAAACTTCTTGACTCCTGGATTTCTCAAATGCAGGGTCCGTATCTTGTTCATCTTTAGACATCCACAGTGCCCGGAACAAATTATTATGACAATGAAAATGAGGGTAATGACAAGGATGATCGTCCTCCTCATCATCTAGAATCTAGAGAAACTGACTATATGCCAGTTTCCATGTAAAACACTTTACAGTTAGTTTCCGTATTTACTGATCACAACTCTGTGAGTTAATCTTTTATTATTGTAATTTTACAGACAAGGAAATTGATGCTAAGAAAGATTAAATCACTTTCCTAAGGCTATAGCAAGTGGTAAAGGTGGAATTTGAATCCAGAATTTTGGATTCCAGAGTCTGGGTTTATGCTCAGGACTGATTTGAACCAATACTAAAAAAGTTGCCTAAGAATGTTTTCACTTATCCTATTTCTTTTTTTTAATTTTTATTTTATTGATTATGCCATTACAGTTGTTCTATTCCCCCCCTTCATTCCCCTCCACCCTGCACACTCCCACCCATACCATTCCCCCCCTTTAGTTTGTGACCACGTGTCTCAAGTTCTTTAGATTCTATATTTCCCATACTATTCTTGCCCTCCCCCCTATCTATTTTCTACCTACCATCCATGCTACTTATTTTCTGTACCTTCTCCCCCCTTCTCCTTCTCCCACTCCCCTGTTGCTAACCCTCCATGTGATCTTCATTTCTATGGTTCACTCCTGATCTAGCTGTCCTCTTAATTTGCTTTTGTTTTAGGTGTGGTTGTTGATAACTGTGAGTTTGCTGTCCTTTCACTGTTCATGTTTTTTGTCTTCTTTTTCTTAGGTAAGTCCCTTTAACATTTCATATAATAAGGGCTTGGTGATGATGAACTCCTTGAATTTGATCTTATCTGAGAAGCACTTTATCTGTCCTTCCATTCTAAATGAAAGTTTTGCTGGATAGAGTAATCTTGGATGTAGGTCTTTGGATTTCATGACTTGGAATACTTCTTTCCAGCCCCTTCTTGCCTGTAAGGTCTCTTTTGAGAAATCAGCTGACAGTCTAATGGGAACTCCTTTGTAGGTGACTATCCCCTTATCTCTTGCTGCTTCTAGGATTCTCTCCTTTATTTTAATATTGGTAATGTAATGATGATGTGCCTTGGTATGTTCCTTCTTGGGTCCAACTTCTTTGGGACTCTCTGGGCTTCCTGGACTTGTTGGAAGTCTATTTCCCTTGCCAGATTGGGGAAGTTCTCTTTTATTATTTGTTCAAATAAGTTTTCCACTCATGGTTGTTCCTCTTCCCCTTCTGGTACCCCTATAATTTGGATGTTGGAGTGTTTAAAGATGTCTTGGAAGTTCCTAAGCCTCTCCTCATTTTTTTGAATTCCTGTTTCTTCAGTCTTTTCTGTTTGGTCATTTTTTTCTTCCTTCTGGTCCACTCCCTTGATTTGAGCCCCAGTTTCCTTTCCATTACTATTGCTTTCCTATGTATTTGCCTTCATTTCAATTAGTTTAGCCTCTATGTGTTCCTCTAATTTGTGACTAAAATCAACCAGTTCTGTGAGCATCCTGATCACCAGTGTTTTGAACTGTGCATCTGAAAGTTTGGCTATTTCTTGGTCATTTAGAGTTATGGGCTCTGGGGCTTTGAGTTCTTCTTAGCCATTTTTGGTCTGTTTGCACCCGGTAAGTATGAGGAGCAGAGCCTTAGGGGTGGGGCAGGGCTACCAGGGCGGGATCCCTGGGTTGTGACGCTGTATGTGGGGGCAGGGTCAGAGCGGGGAAATGGTAGCCATCTCTGCTGTCTCTCGCTGCTGGGGCCTGCTGGGTCCCGTCTCACCACCCACTCCCTTGCCAGTCTATCTGCGCAGGAATGCACCACCACAGTCAACCCACAGCCCTGTGCCCTCCCTGGGTCCACCAGTTGCTCACTGGGTCACTCACTGGGTCGTTCACTCGGTCTGCTCTTTGCAACCCCACGCCTGGGATCTGCACACCTGAGTCCGTCTGACCGCGTTTTCCTGTGCAACCCCACTCCGCTAGCTGCTGGGTTTGCCCCTCCTACCGATCAGGCTGAAGAATTCATTGTTATCAGACTTCCGAAAAGTTCAATTTTCTGTGTTCTGTCTATGTTTTCTGTTGCTAATATTTTGTTGTCTAAACGTGGTTGTGTGAGAAAGCACGGTGTCTCCACCTATGCCTCCACCTTGGCGGAAGTCTTCCTATTTCTTTACTTCTTTACTTCTTTATCGTCTGTCTTTCAGAATGTGACCTCAGTGACCTCAGTGACCTTGCCTACCTCGTCCATTCTTATGACCCCAGCACCCAGCACTGTCTGACACATAGTAGGTGCTCAATAAATATGTGCTATTTGCTTAGTTTCTAAATTCCTTTGGAGGCCATGTAACCCAACAGACAGAGGGCCTGGTGTTATCAGAGTCCCATCTTGATTCTGATGCATTTCTTTTGCTCTTGCATAATGTCTTGGCTTTCAGCTATTTCCCTTTGTCCAGTGTATCACTGAGGTGAAACTAAAAGTGGCAAAAACCATACAGCAGTTTTACAAAGCTTGAGAATTCTGCAGGTGTGCAGTTTCAGGTTGTTCGGAGGTGCAGTGAAGTCACCAAGAACCCACGCTGTTTCTGTTTTTCATGCGGTGGCCGTCAGTGTGACAGTGTTGACTCCTCTCACTGTGGCCAGATTGCTGCAGTAGCTTCATACATCATGTCCTGAAAAAAAAATATTCAGAGCAGGCAGGAAAGGACATGGGCTTTCTCCTTAGTATCTCCTTTTGGTTGTTAGAGAGAAAAATCTTTGCAGAAGCCACTAAAAGAATTCTAGTTATGGCTTCTGGCTGAAAGCTTGGCCAGATGACTGCCACATTGGCCACACCCATTATCTGCAAAGAGGAAATGAATTGAGTTGATCATGGGTCATTTCAAGGGTCCAAGGGAAGGATCCACCTTCCCTGGACAAATTTCCATGATAGCTGAACAAAATCCAGATTCAGATAACAAGGAAGAAGTAGAAAAGTGCACCAATGGCCAATCCAAGAAGTCCTCTAAAGTACAAAAACCTAAAGTGCTTTATAGTTTGAGCACCAGTCTCAGCCATGGTTATTAGGTCTCACTATAATAGTCCTCTATTTCTGAGCACTTTGTTTTATTTTTTTTAATCCTCACCCAAGGATATGTTTCTATTGATTTGAGAGACAGAGAGAGCGAGAGCAACATCAATGTGAGAGAGAAACATCAACTGGTTGCCTCCCATATATGCCCTGACCAGGGATTGAACTCATAAATTTCTGGTGTACAGATGATGCTCCAATCAACTGAGCCACTTGGCCAGGGATGTACAGTTTGTTTTTAATAAATTTGCTTTGGCTTGGAGCAAAATTAAAACATTCAGCAACCCACAATTAAGGTAAGTAGCTGGCCACAGTGATTGTTTTTCCTACGGGTTTAGATCCTAATCCTTTGTATCACTACTGACTTTCTGCATGTGCAGGGACTAACACACAATCTCTCAGCATCTTGTCTTGTCAGATGGGATTGATGATGCTGTTGACTTCTTAGAAATATCAATTCCAATACTGCAACCAATTATAAAAAGATTGCAAAACTGCCTCTAGGCTTTAAGGCTTATTTTCCTACTTCTCCTCTTGTCTACTACATTTCAGTGGAATTCCATAATCCCACAGGCTTGCATCTGTCTGCCTGGAGACTCCAGCTGCTGCCTGGGACGTGTAAACTATAAACATATGGGCTGATACAGTAATTCTCACCAGTTCTTTTTCTCCTGGTGTTTAGCAAGCTTTAAATTAACACCTGCAGTGAGGTAGTTATTTTCCTTCTTTTTGCTGTTCTGGACTTTCCCTTGCGATGCGCCTCAGGAACTCTGTTCTCTGTTGTCATGGTGAAGTGAACTAGTTGTCATGCTCCACAAGCAAAGAACAATATCTGGGAGACGGCAGGTGCTCGGTAAGCATTTGCTGAGTGACTGGTACAGTGGTGGAAAGAAAAAGAGTTATGGGCTTCTGAATCATGCAGACTTGGATTCAAACCTTACCTCTGCCACTTACCACCTACATGATCCAGGGCAAGTTATGTGACTTCT